TGGTGGGCCCTCACACGACTTCGGCTTGGCCACTACTAAGGCTAGAAGTGTTGGTCACTTTATTATGGAGGAACCTTATGTGTGGGCCACTTTTGCCTTCTCCCTGACTCGAACCTGGCCTCTTTGGGATCGCAGTCGGTTCCACTAGCACTATACTGTCTGGGCGGATTCGCTAAAGAAAATTATTTAACTTGAATTTGATTAACCTCTTTCCTGATCTTCATTTTGAATTCTTTCTGTTATTCGTAGTTTCAGCCACTGTTTTATTTTAATATAACTCGGCCGCTGGTCGGCTCAGTTATAAGACGTTTGTCTTATAACTGAGCCGACCAGCGGCCGAGCGGTAAAAGTCGCTTGAACCCTGGTTATTTCTGTCCGAGGTTCGAATCCGGGAACGGCTGGCTGCATGGGGTTTCCGTGGTTTTCCCCATGTGGTAACGGTATACGAGCCAGTTTAGAAAGTTCTCCACGCAGGCATCCTCCCCTTAGGTAGATACCTAGTGCTTTGCCATATTAAATACACACACACCACGTCTTATAACGAAATGTTTTTTTTACTATTAAAATAATTTTTACTTAAATTTAGGTTTATGTAATGGAAAACTTATTTGATCGTTGACCCACTGTCTACGTTGGCTATGCTCACTTTCTAAGCATTGTGCTGAGCGCCTTAGTTCCCGATAACGAAACAGCGTTGGCTAACGACAGTCTCATTAGACTGGTCACAGTTTTTCGACTTTATTAGCCAGTTAGAAGGCCGTACTGGGTAAGTGTAGAAAGATTTCAAATTGCGCATGAAAATGGTTATCAGTTTTCTTTATTTCAGCAATTTTGATGTGAGTAATAAAGCTTTTTAAGGCATTTCATTAAAATCACGCAAACGGTATTAAAAAAGTTTCATCCCAATTTATTTTTAAATGCTAAATATGATACATTTAAAAATGTATACATAGAATTTTAATCCTAAAAATGCTCATATAGTTACCCTTGATTTAAATATTATCTTTAAAATTAAAACTATGTCATTTAAAAGGAAGAATTCTTTATTCATGAACTATTTACTTGCCTTTTTGAATGTCTTAATGGATGTCTTAATGGATAAAAGCCTTAAATTTTTGAATGTCTTAATGGATAAAAGTCTTAATGGATGGATGAATATCTTATAAACTGAGCTACCAAAACAAAGATTTATTTTTTTTTCGTATTTCAGATAATAAAGTTTGACGTTCTTTGGGAGCATAAACTAGTATCAAACTCCTAACAGACGTTAAGAAAACTATCTCTATGTCTGAAATGAACTAAACAGCCTTTAAAAGGTTTGAAACAAACCTTTATTTAAAAGAGCTTTATTTAAAAGAACTCAGAATATAAAAGCACTTCTTATACTCATCTGATCATCTACCACTTATGGCAATGAAACTAAAGTAACAGTCAGATTCAACATTTAACACTTAACCTAATAGTTAGACTACGTAATTTAATTTAAATCTAAGTTGTCTCAGAACGTCTGAATAGAGTAACAATTTAAATGACGGCAGCTCTAAAGCACAGTCGAATAATTAATCTTATCACGTCTGAAAAAACTAAGTAACATGTTCATGAAAGCGGAAACACACACTGTCTTACAATCCAAAATCCTTAGCTTAAATACGCTCTAATTCATTTACATTTCTGGTGAGAGAGCGGAAAGGAGACGCTATAGCAAAGGCTGAAATCATAAATAACTGCATAATGCAAAATAATGGTAACCTTACACAGAAAGAAGTCACATTTACTCAAGAAACTTCAGCGATATGTTCATATTTATGTGGTATTAAGTGGGTAGGATTATACACTGACTACCAATAAGTATTTGGACACCTATGCAAATGGCGATATCTGCGTCCTAAGTACGCACGACTCCGCCGTTAATATCGTGTAGGAAATAGCATCGGCTTTAGTCGCATGCAAGATACCTGCGTTCGAGCTCTCTGTTTCGAGAAAGGTATATTTATCGGTATCACAATGTGGCCGATTTAAGGGACATATCTGGCCATCTGAATTCCAAATCGACAGTGGCCCTATGATTAATAAGTGGAAGGGAGCGTATTGTCGGAATGTGCCCCGTTCGCCTACCAACGACTGGAGATAGAGACCGACGAGTGCTTCAGAGAAATTCGGAAAACGCACCCAACGAAGGCCCTCATCCGCGAGGAATTTCAACAGGCATCGGGAGTATTTTTCAATGAATACCATCCGTAAGAAGCACATCTGCTGGTTTTCACACGTCTTGCTGCTTCCATAGCTTTGATCACAAGTCTACCGCGTGCTCGATAATGTGTGCAAAGCACATCGAAATTGGACGTATCATTGGAAACGATTCTTTGGAGTGACGATCAAGGTTCACCCTTTACCGTTCGGTGGCAAAGTCTTGTTGGGTCTACCTGGAGAACGTCTCCTCCAGAATGCATTGTGCCAACAGTCAGTTCGGCGGGTGGAATTATGGTCTGGGGGGTGTTTCTCCTGTATCGCTGGGACCCTTGTCCTCATTCATGGTAAGCTCACTCCGATCCACTGCACTTTTTGGATGACAATGCTTCACGTTGGGCATTTTTACAGGTTGGACCCCTGTTACTTTCAGGACGACAATGCCAGTTTGTCATGTTTCGACTTAACCAAGGTTGGTATGGTGCCAATGATTCATCGAATGGACTGCCTGCCCAGATTCCAGACCTGAACCCTATCGAAACCTCTGGGACGAGTTTGCATCATCGCCGAATTCAGGGTGCCTACCCTTGCAAATCGTGAAGGAACTTCATGTCTTCTCCAGCCGAGTGAAGAAAATACCACTAGCTGTCATACCAAGACTTGTGGGAATATGCCCCGGAGGGTCCACGCTGTAAATACCTCTCGTGGAGGCTCTACCAACTATTGATTTTGAATAAGTTAGTTTTTCTTTTCTATCACAGGTGTCCAAATACTTATTGGTAGTCAGCGTAAAAGAAAAATTTGTCTATAGTAAACGAATTGTATGGTTTTCCTTATCACGTCAATTGGGCCTAATTTGCACATAGAGCAGACACTTTACTCGGTAAACACATCTCTGAGTTCTACGACCTTAGAAATCTACTTGATTAACAAAATATTAATAAGTGCAGAAAACCCCACATGCAGCAAGTGGCACAAAAATATTTTGGTGCGATAATATAATGTTATAGCATCTTTTGTATTCGTTTTCTTCTTTTTAAATAGCCTGATGTGAAAATTTAGTTGTGAAACGTTTTTATATATCAGATGGTGAAATTCGATTGAAAAAGAAAGTAATATTTCCTTATGTTTACTATTTTATATATGCATGGAATAGTAAATATGGTAGAGTAAAGGTGTTAAATTCATTGAAAATAATATTCAGTAACGCATTTTGAAAAATTACTTTTCGGGGCATCACATGTATTTTAGTAAGATTAAAGGAGAGAGTATTCAAATAACTTTTCCCAAAATTAACTTAGGAATTAAAGAAAACTCATCTAATTAAGTAAATTTATTTTTCTTACTTGAAAGCTAAGAAAAAGAAGGGGAGTAAAATTTATGACTTTCATTTTATGGCTCGTATTATAAAAGCTGTAATTATTTAATTTATGACTTATTTATAAAATATGATTTTCATTAAATCAGAAAAAGGTAGCATGGTAAGTCAGCAGATACTAGCAGCTCTACACAAGAAACTCTCAATAACTATATTGAAGAAAAACAAGCTAGCTAAGGGAATATAATCTAAAAATGGGTTTGGTTTTGAAAGTCATTTTCCCAAGTTATTCAAAAGCTGAAGAGAACATGTTTGTCCTTCCTTCTTAAAATAAAGATTTGCTTTTCAGAAAAGAATAAAGGTTAGCAGTTAGTTACGTTTACGCAATAATACCTTTACGGCGCACTAAGAGATACCTATAAAATAAACATAATAATGTTTGAAAGCAGAATATACCTTTAGTTCTCACAAGCGACAACGATTTAAGTGCCACTTGTAAGAACTGTCTATGTCGCCAGTGCTTGGAATCGGTTGTTTACCATAAGATCCGGCACCCTTCAGGTGCCTGAAAGTAAAGGAAAATCATGGAAATGGTCAAAAGGACAATGTGTACAAGCTTAATGTAATAAGAGTTTGAGTGAAAAAAAACTGAAATCAGCGATATATTCATAATTATTTGCGTTAATTTTTATGGTAAACATGTTTATGGTAAGTAGGGCATGTTCATTTTGCATTTCGCATTAAACAGAATTTGTACTTGTTTCTTTTGTTGTTTGATTTCTGAATTAGAATTTGTACTTGTTTTCTGAATAACCTGAAAATAGCTGAAAGTCTGTTCCTGTTCTTATTTTGAGATTTTGATAGGCAAATAGCGCTCGAGCTGCTTTGCCTTAATCAACTAAACCTAACCTTTTTGTAACCGTCAGACTGGTTTGTTAATAAATAACTTTTGTTATAACCCTTGCTTTTAGTTGTACTATCTGTGGTTATATAGTAGACGGCACAATAAGGTGAATGATAGCCTTTACGGTTATTGAGATAGTTTAGGCAGTTTAAAATCAAGTTTTCCTCAAGCATTTGTTTCTTTTTTTACTAGTTTTTTAAATGATCATAAATGATTTTCCTCTCTAAATATTTATTTGCGTTTTTCAATAATTAGTATTAAGAGCAATAATTAGTATTGTTTCAATAATTAGTATTAAGCAACAAAACATGATAAAGAATATTTTTCTTGTCACACAAAATTTTATACCAATGCTAGTTAAAGGTTTTTAATTATTAAATAATAAAAATAATTTTATCATCTTTTATCCATTGCTTAATAATACCATAAAATGCATACTTACATATTTCATACACAAAATATTTTCGACAAAACATTGCTTTCTAATTAAAAAAAAATATTGCATTTTGACATGTAAATGGCCAAAGTAATTTTGTGCAAAGAATATTTAACAAATTTAAACCAATTCCTTTAATGATTTTTTTCTTACAGAGACAAGCTAACTAGTCGACAAGAACTGGAATCAAGAACCCGAAAAGCTGTAAAATGTGTTCTGGAATTCGATCTTCTCTGCGACTTCGAAACTCAGCTAAGCGTTTTAGATTCCGAAGAAGTCAAGCCGCCATATGATACAGTGTCGGCAATATGCTGCTTGGAAGGAATATGTCCAGATTTTGAAGCTTTTGTCGATAGTCTGAGAAAAATTAATGAAATCCTTAGACCAGGAGGGACTCTTGTAGTTTGCAGCTATACAAATCGCAGCGTGTGGTGTTTAGATGATAAATCCTTCAATTACTTACATCTTACCCTTGAAGAAGTCCTGGATGCCATGAACAGAGCAAATTTTAGACTTAAGTACCTCACTGTACGTTCCGTATCGCAGCAGATTGCTTCCGAAAATATACTTGCTTACTGTTCAGTTTTCGAAAAAATCTGAAATTCGTATTCGACAATCAAACTTATACTATTTCAGAAGTCAAACAACAAAAATCAGCGTTATATTTTCAAATTTGACTAGTTTCGATGGTTTTTAACGAACCACCATCCTCAGCTGCAAAAGCGCAAATGAACGAGATAGGACATAATGAACCGATGAGATAAGAAAGCCTGGACAGAAAATAAGCTAGTAACGCCATCTGATGAAACCAGAACTAAAACATAATTTCTTTAAAGGCCGAAGGCAAAGATGGATTGGAATTAGAATCGTTAAATAGATCAGAAAGATTTTTTTGAATGTGAAATGCCTCTAAAAAATCCAGTTCTCCAATGAAAGATGTTTTTTGAATAATTTTGGCAGCAGAAAAATTGACAGTGTGATTTTCGGACCAACAATTTTTGGCAACAGAAAGACTTCAGTGTTTCCTTTTTTGTAACATATGCCTCATGTTTCTTAACGCAAAATTTTAAGGCTCTCTTAATTTGACCAATGTAAATTAAACCACACTGGCAAGGAATGCTATAAATATCCCAGGAATTCATATCCGGAATGGGGTCCTTGATTATGGAACTCGGAATTTTATTGATGGGAGAATAAACGACCCGAAAGTTAAATTTCTGCAAAATATGTGCAACTTTATGGCTATTTGATGGAAAGAAGGGAATGACAACAGAATTTTTATTATCTCCTAAAACGAGAGTGTTCCTTGAGTGTGTTGAGATGAGAATTTTTTAACTGCTTGATTAATAATGTTGGGTAAAAAGCCCCTGTGAATAGCTATTGCTTTTAAATATTTTAGTTAGTCATCAAGGGATAGTTTGGAGGAGAAAACTTGAAGAGCACGGAAAACATAGGAATAAAATGAAGCTAACTTTTGTTTAGTAGGATGACAGGATTTAAAGTGTGGTGGAAGGCAAACCGATGATGGTTTACGGTAAACTGTAGTACTGAAGTTGGATGTGTTATGTGTGTGTGATGTGAATGTCAAGAAATGGAAGAGAATTGCAAGTCTCAAGTTCAAAAGTGAACTGAATAGCAGAATCCATAGAATTCATTGTTGAAAAAACTTTATTTAAATTATCTTTATTTCCTTCAAACAGGGTAAAAGTATCGTCTACGTAGCGGAACCATACCGGGAAGTTTAAAGTTTCAAACAATTTTGATTCATAATAATGCACGTAGATATCAGCCAGGATGGGACTGAGGGGGCTTTCCATGGCTAATCCCTCAGTTTGCTTGTAATATTTATTTTGGAAAACAAAATGTGTTTGTTTCAAACAGAGTTGAGTGAGCGAAATTAGCTCATCAATTTCGATGCAAGATAAATGAAATTCGCGAAATCTGGTTTCTAGACATTGGTGAATAATGATTTTACATCAAAAGAAACCATGAGTAAATTTCTAGGAGAAATGTTTTTTACCTTTTTTACAAACTCTATTGAATTTTTTATGGTGTAAATGTTATTATCCAATAGAGTTGAAAATCTAGAAACTAAATATTTAGCTAATGGATACGAGGCAGTACCTAAATTTGATATAATAGGGCGGAAAGAAATACCACTTTTATGAATTTTGGGAAGAGCATATAATCTGGCACAATTCGCAACAGATGGGATAAGCGAATGTTTTAATTTGCTTGAAATGATTTGCGAAGATTTGATCGCAGTTTTTATTTTTGACAGGTCCGAAAGTGAAGGATCGTTAGGGATCGGATTATATGGTCCTTCGTTTAAGAGTTAAGTGACACCATTCTATGTAAGTGTTCTTATACATGACGACTATCTGGCCACCTTTGTCACCATTGGAAATAATATTCGAGGTAGAATGAATTTCGCGCATTGTCTTTCACCCAACATTATTAATGAAGCAGTTAAAAAGTTCTCATCTCAACACACTAAAGGGCACACTCTTGTTTTAGGAGATTATAAAAATTCTGTTGTCATTCCCTTCTTTCCATCAATTAGCTATAAAGTTGCACATATTTTGCAGAAAATTAACTTTCGGGTCGTTTATTCTCCCATCAATAAAATTCCGAGTTCCATACCCAAGGACCCCATTCCGGATACGTTGATACAGAGGTAGTTACACAGGGGTTCTACTGCATACGCAGTACTTCCCTGTTAACCTGAAGGAAGTCCACAATGGGCATGGTGTTGAAAGGTTCCTGGATGAATCCCATGGAGGGAGTAGGGAGAGGAAGGAAAAAGGAGAAAAATATCTCAAAGCCTGGACAGAAAATAGATTGCCAGTTTTCAAGTCCCTTGAAAACTGGCGAGGGAGTAGACCCCATTCCGAATATGAATTCCTGGGGTATTTATAGGATGCCTTGCCAGTGGAGTTTAATTTACATTGGTCAAACTAAGAGAGCTTTAAAATTTCGCGTCAAAGAACATGAGGCATATGTTAGAAAAAGGAAACCACAGACGTCTTGTTGCCCAAAATTGTTGGTCCGAAAATCACACTTCAATTTTTTTGCCGCCAAAAGTATATTCAAAAAATATCTTCTTCATTGGAGAACTGGATTTTTAGAGGCATTTTACATTAAAAATATCTTTCTGTTCTAGTTAACGATCTTAATTCCAATCCATCTTTGCCTTCGGCCTTGAAAGAAATTATGTTTTAGTTCTGGTTACATCAGATGGCGTTACTAGCTTATTTTCTGTCCAGGCTTTCTTATCTTATCGGTTCATTATATCCTATCACGTTCATATGCGCTTTTGCAGCTGAGGATGGTTGTTCGGTAAAACCATCGAAACTAGTCCTGTGAAAATTTGAAAACGAAAAGGTGATTTTTGTTGTTTGACTTCTGAATTAGTATTTGTTCGGCGTGTTATTGTGTTTTAATTAAACTTATATTAGTTGCATTAATCTTAAACATGTTATTCATATCCGACACTGTTTTTAAAAGCCCCTCACAATATCTATTTGACCTTTAATGACATTTAGTAATCTAGAATGCATATAAATAATTTTTACTAACTTAGATTACCCAGTCCGAAGGCTGCATTATGTATGTTATCCCAGGCAGCATGCATTCGTAAACTGCACTCGAAACATACGTAGAATATACGAAAGTTTATTCTACGTTTGTTTCGAGTAAAAACGTAAAACTTCGTTAAAAAACGTAAAACTTGAACGTAAAAATATTATAAAATGTGTCTTAAAAAGTAGTAGATTTTTACGTTACAATATACGCAAGGTATACGTAAAATTTAGGTACATTCATGCAAATCATCACGCTTTTTTTGTAGTTTTTACGTACAATGTACGTAGTACATTTTAAGGATTTACGTATATTTTTGGAGAAAATTTACGTATATTTACCGCATATACGTAAATCTTCCCAGTGTTTTTATTTCGTATATTGTTATTAAACATTTAAGTAAATTTGCGCAGTTTTTTTACTTTTCACAAACGTATAATTTTTTATTACAGAAACAGTAGTTTCTGCACAGAAATTTATGCAAATTTTTCCAATATTTTTACTATGCATAATCGGAAATAATTTTGGCAAAATTTCATTTTTCATGAAATCTAGATATATTTTCACAGGTTATTTAATACCATATTTTTATCATTATATGCAGATAACATATGTATATTACGAATGTAAAACGCCATTTAAACACATTTGATTTTCATAGATCGGTGCTAATAGTAACATAACGATAAATTAGAATATATATACCAGACATAGTTAGACTTAAAAACACGGCATCCACATTTTATCCCTGCATGAGGTGAAATTTTCCACAGTTTATTAAATATGATAAGCTAAAATAAGAAACCAGAAAGTTGTTCATTAAGTAAATCAGTTTTCTAAAAACATATGAATTTAATATTGTAGAATTTTATATTAAAGGAATTACTGAAATGGAAGATGGAAGTAATTTTAAAGTCATTGAAAAATGTAAATTTTAATTTCAAAAATTCATATTTATTATTATGCTTTAAACAATCAAATAACTAAGCAAGTTTCAAATATAAATTACTTTTATATGTTTCACATAAAAAAAAAAAAAAAAAAAAAAAAAGTAATTACCTACTTTTTTTTTTTTTTTTTTTTTTTTTTTCAGATTACGAGTTGTGTTTAATGCACATTTATAAAAATATACCTGTAGTTTTCTTCACAGACACTACCTATGTATCATCCTGTAGGAAATTTTTTCTTTATTAATGACCATTTTATTGTCATAAATTTATTTTATTTTTTCGTTAATTTAGTGTTTCACAGCTAATGGTGTTTTCAAGATAATACGAAACTTGCCAGAAATTTTTTTCCGAGTTATTTTGAAAGCAATTTTATCTAGATAATGCCTTAATGCTATAAATATTTTGGCCATTGAAAAATAATATATACTAATTGATGTGGTATCAGTCTCTAAAATTTTGGTTTGATATGTCTCATGTAAATTGAAATTCAGTTTAAACCAATTATGACAGAGAATATATAAATTAGAAAAAGCGACTGTTAAAAAAAAAAAAAACTCTTAATGTTATTATTTAGAGAAACGTCAATAGAATTTAAATGCCTTTCAATGTAAGCTAAAATACGCCTTACACATGGAGCTTTTTTATTCTTAACTTCGAAGGTAGAACTAATTCTCTTTTCAGTTCATTATCAATAATAATAGTAATAATAAAAATCCTCAATCCTAAAATTTATTATGCGATTTACATTTCTGTTCAATTAAATTTTATTTGTTTTAGGTATCATAAAGTAAAAAATTATTATAAACAGACAATTTAATGTTTAGTGTCTGGATAGGTTCATTTTTGAAAACTTAATGATATGAGTTATGATTTCAGTGTTATTTCTAAAATTTCCAGAAAGAAAGAATTATAATTAATGATTGATTGTTCATATGTTAAATATGTTTCTAGCTTTTTACCATTGTTTGTAAAAAAGAAAATATTTTTACATCTTATTTTTGTTATTGAATTCAGAAAATGCCGACAAAAATCAATATTATGAAGCCTTGATATTAATACACATGATATAAAAGCAATAGAAAACAAAATTCATTTTTCGAAATTCAGCATGTGAAATATAAGTGAAGGCAGCAATTAGTTAAATGAACATTACCAAAATTTTAATGAAAATTAATAAAT